TAACTACTCTCTGCTAGTCTTATTTAACCTCTTCCTAAAACAAACACTAGCTACTCTGTGCTAACCTTAAGTTAGCCATTAGCTTCACTTTAGGCTATCACTGAGGACTCTGCTAACACAATTTATTCCTTCCCTAGGACGCCTAAATCCTTTGCTAACAGCTCATCCTTTCCCAGACCCTGATCCTTTAAAGTCACAGTTAAACATCCGTATACATGAAAGCTATCACAAAGATGTATAGTATAGTGTGCCATAAAGTAGCAGGAAAAGGATGCATTGTTCCCCTCTTCCTTTAAAACTTTTATGTCGATTTCTTATTAACTTACCTGAGGCATTATTTTAACTAAATCTTGCTAAACAGTATAAATAAAGACCTGCAAAAAGATGAGCAGGAAGACTTGCACCCAACTCCGACTCCCGTGTCTTCCTCACTCCCTCTCCCCCTCTTGGAATCTCTGCACGCCCACGCCTTCCCATCTTAGGGTCCTGCCTTTGTTGCCTCCAGACACCTCAAAAGTTGGAGCTGGTCTCCGACATGTATGGTCATATAGACACACTGATTGGCCACTCACACTGACTCTTTGGTGAAGTGCCTGACAAATATTTTGCCCTTTATTGCCTGTGACTTTTGGCTTACAGTTCTTTGTATATTCGTTGTAACGAGACTGGTACCTGCTCCCCACATCCGGCCTTCATGGCCGCCTTCTGGTCTGCTGCCGTCGAGAACCAGGCAAGCTCATAGCTGAGGCCCAGATCTCCCCATACATGTGAAGTTAAATTTGGTTTTTCAATCTGTCTGGTAGAAATTTCACCAATGAAGCATGCCAAGGAGACCCCAGAGGGGCAGGGGAAAATTCCCTTCTGCCCCACACAGGTGTACCAAGGAACCCTGACTTGGTAGAGGTGTAATGGGGGGCTACACATCCCAGCTCACAGACATCAACCGTGTCAGATATTATCCTGGCTCTCCGACACCCATGCGGGCAGAGAGCAAGGCCCCAATCATGATAAAACTCACCGTGACTCAGCGGACACCTTTTTCTTCTTGTTTTCTTTTAGTCATCTGACTGTTAAGGGGAAGGATGTCCTAAAAGAACTCTGCAGTCTTATGGATCCCACCCCCTACTCCAGAAAGCTGGAGTAGAAGAGATCCTCTGCTCTGTCAGTCAGTGATGCTTACTCCAGAAAGCTGGAGTAGGGGGTGGGGTCCACAAGACTCAGGAGGAAATTAGCGAAGGTGGATGGGTTACTGAGATGAGTCCATCCCAGTTAGTAGACCTGACATTTAGAGTATAGAATAACCGAGAGGAAAGGAGACCTAACCCTGTGACTGTTTTTGTACAGAGACAACATAGAACAGAGGTCAGAGTAATAGTAACAGAATGGCAGGTGGACTCATGAGACGTGAGCCTCTAAGACGGAATCAGTGTGCCTACTGCAAGTGCGAGGGACATTGGAGGTATGAATGTCCCTGATTACGGGTCAACAGGAGACATTATAGTGACTGGAATGGGGGTGGGGTCCACAAGACTCCGCGGAGTTCCTTTAGGGCATCCTTCCCCTTAATATGACCACTGAGTCTGAAACTGGGTCTAAAGGGCATGGCCGACCTTTGAGCAACACGGGTTTGGCCTGTGCGGCCCACTTTCTATCCGTGGGGTTCCATGTTTGCAATTCCGCACCCACAAATTTGGCCGACCGCAGACATCTGTAGGTGGACCCAGATGTGGATCCTCGAGATGCAGAGATGACTGTAAAGTATAGGCAGGACTCTGAAGGTGTGAATGTGTGAAACTTGGCCCCCCAGCCCCACACCACCTCCCATGTCATTCAAAAGACATTTGTTTTCATTTCTGTTTCATGTTTATGTTTTTCTATTTCAGAATGTTGTTATGCAAAATGGCGCCTATCTGCATGGTTGGTTCTTACTGCAGACATGTGAACAATGCAAGGCACTTGAGATTCCCTCAGCCCTTAAAAGACAGGGACAATCTGGAATTGACTGCCAGGGAGCAGGCAGGTCACAGAAGAGCCTCTTTTATGGGGCAGCCTTTCCGGGAAGATCAATGACCCTGTCTCCACATATTGCTAAACTTCATATTGGTGCTCTGTAGACTGAGATTTCAGTTATTTTCCTGGTTATACAGGATAATCACCAGGAAAGTGAACCTAAATTTGGTTATGTGGTGTTTTGTTTTTTTTTTAAGATTTATTTATTTGTGCATACAGAACTGGGGTACAGGCCAGAGGCTCAGGGGCTGTGAGAGGCTTCACCAGAAACAGAGTGGGGAACAGAACAGGCAGATTGACGAAGTACACTGCTGAGGGGAGCAGCGGGCGGGTCAGGAGAGGTCTGCCACGCCATGTGGTCACCTCTGGGGCAGGCGGGAATCAAACTCATGCGGAAGTGGCTTAAGCTTCTCAGTGCTGTGCTTTAACCTGCTGCACCCCCAGGGAGGGCCTGGTTATGTGGTCTTTAAAGTGGGATAACTCACCAACAAGAGATCGATTTTTTGCAAGGATTACTTCTTAACCCTTTAACCAAAAATATTTTTTGTAAGGCTTAGTTGTGGGTGGGTGTGTCTGGGAGAAGATGTGGAAGTTGGAATTTTATCTTTCTTATCATTGGTGTTGAGCACCTACATGACTGTCCTGGAGGCAATTAGCACCATCTCTGCAGCTCCAGTATTTTTTCCTACACATAATCTATACTAATCGAGTCTTAGCTCATGAATTCATGCTCATGTAGGAGTTTGATTGAGAAAGCACAAGTTGATTGATTTGTAACAGCACCCTCGCTGAGAGATAAAACACGGAGAGAGGGTATATATTCAGAACGACACCGCTCACTGTGCACGGCTGGCAGCGCCCTCTCATCTCTGCTCCCTCAGGATCACAGGTCAGTTTTTCACTGCTGCACTTAAGCTGTGTTGGTTGTTGAAGTCAACAGTGATGTGCTCCTATTCCTGCGTGCGTTTCATTCTCTATGATCACATTGCACTTTGTCGTTAATGCTAACTCCATTACTTCTGCTTTACTTCTTTACTTCTAATTTCTGGGAAAAATTTAGATACCTTGTCCAACTCATGTCACTTGTCTTTTAGCAGATTTTCCTTATTTCCCAGTCAACAAATGTGTTCTTAGGAACACTGTGGACAGTGCCTGACATGCCCCTGGCCGGGGTGAAAGGACAGGAATGCTCAGGAGAAAAAGAGTGGGTGGGGTCTCAGTCCTAAAACTTTTTCTACCCAAAGCTAGTGCAGCCAGGTACCTAGGCAACATTAAGATGTCCTATTCCCTTTCCACAAAAATCTTAAAAGGACACTTTTGCTAATCCAGTAATTAGAAGAATGCCTGCACAGGATGATTTGACAAGTTAAAAGAAAAAATTGTAGCTATAGATAGAGTAAACCAAGTATAATTTATTCCAAGAAAATGTCACTCCTGGTAGCCTGCTCAGTGACATATTTATCATGAATCTCATGCATCCCTAGGTGTTCCAGATCACGCCAAGGTCACGATGAGCTCACTCAGGTGCGAGTTTGCCGTCTCTCTGTTCCAGCAGCTCAGAAAGTCAGAGGAAGGGAATATCTCCTTTTCCTCCCTCAGTATCGCATCAGCCTTAGCCATGTTCTGCTTAGGAGCCCAAGAAAAAACTTCATCAGAAATCCAGGAGGTGGGTGACAGCTTCCTTGACATGGACCAGTCAGGACTGGCGTCTCTGTGGGCTGAGATGTGGTGGTCACACCACTGCGCCCATGGATGCAGTGCAGGATGCAAACTTCTGCACAAATGGGTGAGCACCCAGCTGAGCGGGGTTGCACCCTGCCCCCAACCCAGGGGCCCAAGTGAGTCCCTGAGCCTAGACAGCATTGGGCACTGGAGTGACTTGTACAGTTACCCAACAATCAGAGCAACACTCTGCAAAGGTGATAATCTGACTAAAGTCCCAGGGGTAGAATCATCCATTTCTCAGCAATCAATATGCTTCTGGGAGGCGATTGACCATAATTCGGCTTTGTTGAGTTGCTCAAAGAGCAAGCTCTCAACTCTCACCCTGAAATTTTGTTAATCGTTGTGTTTTGTTTTTTTTTTTTTTTTTTTTTTCACTTTTATGTCTTTGGTTTTATTTTTCCAGTTTGTTTGGGGCATTAGGAAGCTTTGTGTTTGTTTGGGGTTAGAGCACTTTCTTTTTAAGTTTCCTCTCATGTATCTCTATTGAGTAATTTTCTTGTTCCCTCCTGTCTTTCCCAGGCCCTTTACCTTAAGGAAAATGAAAGAGCCAAGGTGAGCAGTTTTGTCTCTGGTTAACGTGAGCATTTACGGGAGTCTCCATGAGACAGAACACTTGAGATGGGCCGTGTCGGACAGCCAGGATCTCACTCTTTAAAGTGGGAATTTCCCTAAACTCTGGAAAGCCATGCTTACAGGGCCTCTTGAGCAAAGTAGATAGTAGAGTCACAGTCATTTCTCACTTCATATTACTCAGTTTTCACTGTTTTTCCTGAGCGGCAGCAGCACTTTGGTGAAGAGCAGGGGTTTGGGACCAGGAGGTCAGTGTCAGTTCCAGCCTCACAGTCCAGAAGTGGTACCCATGGGGTCCCACCGCGGCCCTGAGCTGGAGCACTCACCCCACTCAACCAGGGCCAAGGAAGGGTATGCCTTGATGAGTGCACAAACTTTTGGCAGCACCGATGGCTGGAAACTCTAGTAAATGCTACGTATCATTATATAGAACAACAAGGATTATAGCAGTCATAATCGCGTTGCTAAAAGTAAATAATTTAATTAATTCAAATAATATTAATGGAAGCATTCTGGGAAAATAATTGTGTAAGATGGATGATAGCAAGTGGAAGTTTCTAGATTCAAACAGACCTGGGTTCAGAAATTGATTCTGATACATTACCTCTGCTTGGAGACGTTGGTGATTCTCTGAGCTTTCTGGGCTTTATCTGAATTGGAGTAAAGACTTAAAGGCTCAGTGTAAAGACTCGTAGTGTCCTGCCCTGGCATCCCATCAGCACGAGTCAAGGGCCACGCGTCACTCACTGGTCAGCAGTGGTAAAGCTGCAAATGGGGTATAATGGGCTTTATGACATCACATATTACAAAAATGACAGTGACCTGCTCACACCAGCGATGACTATCAGAACCTGGTTCGAGAACCTAACCCTGGCTATTAGCACCAATTCAAAGACAACCCAATAATAGGATGGATTTATGACTGTAGTTAAAAAAGAAGGATTTGAAGCATATTTGAGCACATTTGAGCTAAAATGCACCACATATCAGGGAATCACAACTAACATTATCTGTTTGCTTACCAATCTATAGAGATGGATCAAACAGACTTACACAGGTTTAGATTTGTGTTGACAGAGAATTCAATGAGCTCACTCTTTCGTATTTGAAGGTTGGAAATTTGGAATATGTACATCATCGCTTTCAAAAATTTCTGACTAAAATAAGTCAGACCACAGATGCCTATACACTAAAGATCGCCAACAAGCTTTATGGAGATAAGAAGTTCCAGTTTCATCAGGTAAGTCCCTCTGGTTGGCTACACCTCTAATTTACCCTCTGGTTTTCCCCCTCCAGTCACCAGACCAGGGGGCAGTAGCAAGAAGCTGGCTAACTCCCATGGGTGCTTCCTCCAGGGAGCGCCAAGCTCCTACCCACTCCTCCCACCGGAGTTTTCCAGTCTGTCAATCCCCAGCAAAGTGAAGGGTCAGGGATTGTTTGATGCACAATATTTGACCGTCATTAAAAATAACTTAATTTGTAAATACAAAGTAACTGATACATTACTCTTAATTCCTCCTCCTTTCTCCTTTACTGTGTCCAAGGAATTCTTGGAAAACCTTAAGAAATTTTACCAAGGCAGCTTGGAACCTGCTGACTTTACAAATGCTGCAGAAGAAAGTCAAAAGGCAATTAATTCCTGGATGGGAAGCCAGATGCACGGTAAGTAAGGTGGTGTAGGTGCATTAATGACATCAAATCTCGGCTGTATGGGAACCCCGTGCTCAACCCCACGGGGGTGCCGGGAAGGCCAGGGACGACATGAGTGTGCAAAGCCAACAGAGGGCGGCACTGGGATGGGTGGAGGAGCCAAGCAAAGGTATGGAAAAGAAGGGAAACCCAGGGAGGACGACAAGGTACATGGAGAGAGCTGTCGCTCTGTGCTCACACATGTTCAGGAGGAACTGTGATTTTGTGAGTCAAAGTTGTCTGCTCAGGCCCCATCTGACTTGACTTACATCTTTCACATGAGGCTGAACTCCTGGATTACATTCCTAAGAGAAAATACCACAGCGTCCACGTCTCTGTTAAGTGAGAACAAACAGCTCTGATAAGCTACCCCCAGGTCGACCAGCTGGCCCTTCTCCCTCCCGGCACCCCATGAGGATGATCTCCCCCAACCCCAGCAGAGAGGTTGGCAAAAAGTATCCACATTCAAATCTGTATCTTACCACTCACTGAACAGAGCCAACCCACAGGTACTCCAAGGGGAGAATGAAGAACTGACCCCCCCAGAAGTGGCGTGGGACAGTACCAAGCATATCACAGATCGTAGAGTTTATGTATGTGGGAATTCTATATTCAAAACATTTATCTTCAAGAAAATGCAGGTCCTATGTTGCCCCAGCAGTCAGCCAAAACTTAAAAAAAACGAGAACCATCAATGACCTTTGTACTTTTCAAAGCATCTTGCAGACAAACCATGATGCTCTTCATAACAGACTTTATTTTTTCCTTTTGTGAAAAGGCAAGACGATTCTTCCTAAGGGGTCTCTTAAAAACACCACGCTCCTGGTTCTGGTGGACACAGCCTATTTCACCGGAGAATGGGACAAGAAATTTGATGGGAAAATGACTGAGCAGAGTGAATTCTGGCTGACCAAGGTACTGTCTGAAATAACTTACAGGATTAATGTAGCTAAACAGGAGTGTTGGATCTAAACACGTTTTTAAAGAAAAGATTTCTTTATATATATAGATATAGATGCATACAAGAGCTGGGGTGCAGGCCAGAGGTGAGAAGGAAGATTCACCAGAGACCGAGAGGGGGGCACAGCAGGCGGATTACTCAAAGGAGATGTACTTTAGCCGAAGTGCATGTGCAGCAGGAGAATAGAATCCCTCGTGGGTGGTGATTAAAACTTTATTTAGTTGGGATTACTTGAAGGAATGTCCTGACTCACAAACCTCCCAGGTGATAGCTTAGAAGGAAGATTTATGGGGCTATCTAGAACATTACCTACTTTTTAAAAAAACGCATCTTCCTTGAACGTCTGTTGGGTGCATTCATCTTCTGCAGGATAAGAGCAAACCTGTGCAGATGATGAAACAAACCAACTCCTTTGATTTCTGCTCGCTGGAAGACTTGCAAATGAAGATCCTGGAAATCCCATACAAAGACAAAGAGCTAAGCCTGGTGTTGCTGCTGCCCAATGAAGTAGATGGTCTGAAAAAGGTACAGTCTGCGCAGCTGACCTTCGAGCGATGCAGGGTTAGGGCATCAACCGCCGGCCCCCCCAGTCAAAAATCCCAGTGTAACTTCTCCCCAGACACTCAGCTACTAGTCTCCTGCTATCAGCCAGAACCTCACCAAAATTTAAACAGCCAATGAATGCACATTTCAGATGTTATCTGTATTATATACATATCCTTACAATGAAGTACGTTAGAGAAAAGAAAATACTAAGAATGTCTTTAGGAAAAAAACTGCATTTGCAGTGTTGTGCTATATTTACCATGTCGTTAAATTTGCATCACCTGTTTACAAGGTAATTCATGGATAAGTGGACCTTTGCAGTTCAAAGGTGCACTGTGATTCCCATTCTTCCTTCCACTGTGCAGTTCCCTAAAACTCTGTTGCTTGTGTGAACTGTTCCTGTCAGCAGTGTTCACAGGTGCTGGCGGGGTGGGCCAGTGCTCAGGAATAGAATGTTTCTACCTATATGCATAAGGAATATACCATTTCTTTTCTACATACAGTCCAGGTGGTGAATTATAAGGGAGAATCTGACATCCTGTCGGGTTAACTATCTTATGTATCACACTTAAATAACTTCAGTGTGCTCTGCAAAAATATACAGAAATCTTTTTAAGATTTGTTTATCCATACATACAAGAACTGGTGTACAGGTCAAAGGTGGGGGGGTGAGAGGATTTACCAGAGACAGAGTGGGGAGCAGAACAAGCAGATCTCCTGAAATATGCTGCTGAGCGGAGCAGCGGGCAGGACAGGAGATGGCTGATGCACCATAAGTGGGTCAGCTCCCTGGCTGGTGATCAAACTCCTGCTGCAGTGGCTGCTGAGAGCTTCAGAGTGCTGCACCTTAACCCCTTGAGCCACCAGGAAGGCTCCTACATAGTAACTTAGCATCCGAGCCCACAAATGTTCTGAGGAAACAATGGAACATCAGTCCAGAGAATCATCTACCTTGGTTCACAAACATAATATTTTGTAACCAGAAGATCAACTGATATAATCTAATCTATACACTTGAAGATAAGGAATCTAAGACTCAGATGTGAGTGATACATGGAAAATGTGAGTGAATTGCAAATTCACTCATAACTGAGCCAAGCAAGATAAATAGCAATGACACTATTTGCATATTAAATCATGATGATATTGTGGACAGTGAACAAATACATTTATCTTGAGCTCACTTTCAGTTCAGGGGTATCTGTTCCTAGCACCTCAAGTCTTTTGGAGCCTCATTCTTATGAGGAAGGGGGCAGAGGGGTGTGGAGGCAGGGGAGTTTTCCTTTCAACGTTGTTTAAAAACAATAACACCAACAACCATATCTGGATCTTAAGAACATCCCAAAAGGGCCACCTGCAGTCACTATAATAGACCATTATAGAGCTGAGTTTGCAGCAAACTTGCCACGCTCAGAATGTATTTTGCAGTAACACTAGAATGGGCAGTCCAGAGAAAGTGACCGGCACTTTCACTCCAGCTCCTTGGTCTGCGCTGTCAATGGCACAAAGAACATCAGTCCTGGGATTTTATTCAAAGATGACATGTCAAAACAAGGCAAAGCTCAGAAGAAGTGGCTCAAAATCATGAAACATTCAAACCCAGGTTGGTCTACCATAGCTGAGCTTAGGGACTTGCTCACAGGGCAAGTGTGTAATTAATGCTAAAGCGGTGTAATCTAAGATATATGCATTAAGTGTCCTTTCCATCCCGGTATGTCCAAATTTAAGCTTCATTTGACATACATTCTTACGTGAAAAAGTTTACAAACTGGTAAAATGAGAAAAATAAAGTTTGTAGGTTATATTATTATGAAAAATATTAGTACAGAAGGACATTAATAAAAAGAGGCTATTTAAAAATAAAATAAGTTTAAGAAATGAATAATGTAGCTCTTCTTTCCAGATTAATTTTATTTAGTGTCTCTCTGGTTCTACATAAATAGACACATCACATACCTATAATAGCTCTATCTATATCACATGTAACAGAAGTTTCAGTTCACTGTATTTAATACAGAAGATTGCATTTAACTGCATTTCCTATACATTCTTTATGTATAAGATGTGTAGTAAATGGAAGTCTGTACTTACATTTACTGTTAAAATGAAGGTTTTCCAGGTCTCCGTGGTGGCACAAGGGCTTAAGTCTCGGTGCTATGAAGCTGTCCACAGCCACTGCAGCATGAGCTCGATCCCCAGCCAGGGAGCTGACCCACACGGCTTAGCAGGCCTGTCCTGTGTCACCCCCTGCTCCCCTCAGCAGTGTACTTCCTAGATCTGCCTGTTCTGCTCCCCACTCTGTCCCTGGTGAATCCTCTCACAGTGCACATGGCCTGCACCCCTGTTCTCCTATGCATAAATAAATAAATCTTTAAAATAAATAATAAAATGAAGGTTTTGCACATGGTTCAACCTACCGAGTGTTTGCTGCCCCCTGAGATCACCTCATTGTTCCTGTTTTGCTTTCTGACAGCTGGAGGATAAACTCACCCCTGAGAAGCTGATGGAGTGGACGAGCCTCCAGAACATGAGCCAGAGGCGGGTGACCGTGCACTTACCTCGCTTGCAGATGGAGGGGTTCTATGACCTCAAGACCGCGCTCATGGCCCTGGGCGTGGTGAGCGCCTTCAGCGCGCACAGCGCCAACCTGGCCCGCATGACAGGGGGCGAAGGCCTCGTCCTGTCCAACGTCCTGCATCAGTGCTGTCTGGAGGTGGCAGAGGGCAAGGAAACCGCAGCCGCCAGCCGCGCCGAAGAAGGCACCACAGCAGCGCCGGCCCCCGAAAGCTTCCGCTGCGATCACCCCTTCCTGTTCTTCATCAAGCACATTGAGCTCGACAGCGTCTTCTTCTTCGGCAGAGTCTCTTCCCCTTAGATGCCACGAGCTGCCCCCAATGCCCAGGGATAGTCGTAGATCCGTCCGCGCCAAGGGTGGCTGGACACAGGTTTGCTTTCTCCGCTCTCTCTCATAATCAGTAATAGAGTGTGTGGTCTCCACAGCACGACTGTCGATGTTCAAGATAAGATGAAAAGATATTTCCACACCGTGTTCTCCGAAATGTGAAATAGTCTATCTGCTATTTCAAAAATCATCTCTACTCCTCAAAAGTCTAACTCTACACGTACTTATGTATATGGATCTGGTTGATTCTGGAAACTTTACAGGGCTGTTCTTAATAAAGTGCATTAATAAAACGCAACTTATTCGTGCCATTTTTTACTTTTCCTAGTTTTGTTTTTTTTTTCACCAAGTGCAAGTTCCCACCCCACATAGGAAACAGAACTTAGAAAGATGATTTAGAAATACATTATCATGTAGAAGGAGAAATTCAGGCCCTCCCTGGTTAAAGCACAGTGCTGGGAAGCT